TGTCTGCACTGTGCACTTTAACCACTGAGCCACCAGGGCTCCTGGTATTCTCAGAGCAATGGTACTGAAATATTCATTTATTTACTGATTTCATCAAAGCAAGGCTTTCTGCTATTTATTAGAAGGGCTGTGCATACTTCAAAACCAATTTGCAAAAAGTACTTCAGACTTCATGCAAATGTGAGCGCATCTCTCTGCTGTTCATTACAGCAAGCACATTCTTTCAGGTTCCTGTCCAGAGAGGTGCCACTCTCAATTTGCTCCAAAGCAGGTCTTAATCCAAATCATTTCCAAAGTGAGCACAATCCTCTTTATTACATTCAAAGTTGTTTCCAGACCCTCCTTCTTTGAGCCTGTTGCTTAATGCAACAGTTAACTTGCAACGCCAGCAAGCAGACCATATTTCATGACCTCAAATGCATTCAGTGATCCTTGCAATCCCAAATCTCTAGTTCTCTAGAGAACATCAAACAAGCAAGAGATATCTAGGATTATGAAAGACATCCCTGTTCTACAATCACCTTCTTCTCAGGAGACAGTTCACAGACGCACATTAAGATTAAAACTGCTTAAGCTAAAAACATGCACATTTCTTCCATGTTGCAAAAAAGGGGAGGTCTGTTCTGAGAATTTTGAAATATATATGTCAGCAACAAAATAGGACGCCATTTCTTAGAAGGAGTGGCTTAACAGTGAGGGAGGAAAAATCTACCTTCCTTTCCTTACAGGTTTTTTTTTTCCCTCTCACCTCCTTGTAAAGGACAAGTAAAGAACTGCAGGACTTAGACAACATACCAGGCATTTTTCTGTCAACTGCCAGGCCAGAAAGAGAGAGAGAGAAAAAGATATCAGTGTTTAGCCACTGAAAAGGTTTTTCAGACTGGACCTTGCTTCTTTTCACTGCCAAAGTTAAGGATGTGCAATGAGGAGATTGGGATCATATTACTCTCTAATTCCAGTGTTTCTCAACCTTGACAATTTTAAGGCATGTGGACTTCAACTCCCAGAATTCCACAGCCAGCTGGCTGTGGAATTCTGGGAGTTGAAGTCCACATGCCTTAAAATTGTCAAGGTTGAGAAACACTGCCTGAAATCCATGGGATTCAAAACCATGTCTGTAAGTGGAACTAGCTAGAATTTATTTCAAATTTCTCCCCATTGTTTTCTGATTTGATCCTCTTTCCTAACTCGGAAGATAAGATTCTAGGAATTCTGCCTAACCTGCTTTGAATTCCATCTGAGAAACAGGTAAGTTATTAATGTAATCTGGAAAGAATATTTTTTGTAACTATAACAAACATAATCAATCAGCATATGCTACCTCAATGTTTCTACTGTAAAGTTCACTGAAGACTGTCTTTTAGAAATTCCTCATTAAATTTAAATCTACCAGCCCATTAAACCAGACTCCTTAATAAAACTGTTGTTTTATTCATCTACTAGAGCAATGTTAAATAAAGTAGCCTATTCATGCATCCTTGGCATCTGATTTCATATTACAAAAATAATCCACAAAAAAGTCTGTTAGAATAAGCTGCTTTACCAAAAAAGCTGAGAAAGTATATTAAACGTGTTTACATACTTTTGCCGCAGCTGTTTCATGAAAATGAAGCATTGTTTTTTATTTATTTATTTGTTTGCTTGTTTGTTTATATCCCTTTAATAGTTTTATAAATAACTCAAGGCAGCAAATATATCTAATGCTATTTCCTTCTGCTACCCAAGAAGGGTCCAGACCAGAGTTCTGAAATATATATATGAATTTCCAAAACCTTCTCTGAATGGGAATTCTTGTATGGTATCATCATCAGCCTTTTATATCATTCATCACAAGATGTTGCAGAGATTTTTCTAATCATCCCAGTTTTATACTATTGCATACCCTTCAGTCACATAAAGCCAGCCGCCACTTATTCAATAGAGTTGCATTCATATTAACATCACATTGCATAGGTGCAATTGTATTTATTTGTTAGTTTAGAAATTTCTGCAGATTCAGCGGAGCTTATTCAAGTTATAAGATTAAAATAATTGGGATTTGGCAACTTTTAAAGAAAACTCATTAGACTTGCTTGGAAAACTGCTTTTAAGTAAAATCATGCATTGTCAATATTAAAACGAAGCTAATTTACATTCATTTTTAAAATAATACCTTTATAATATCTAGAGTCTGTTCTACCTTGGCCTTATTTAAATAAATTGTATATATTGCAATATTATTTTTCTGTGTTCTCCCACCATTGCATGGGATCCAATTCATATCTACTTTACATCTTGGAGGTCTTGCTAACCACAACAAAGGGAAAAGTAAAAGAACACAACTTTTAACCTATGCCTTTCGGAAATGCCAAATGAGCTCTCTCTCCCACTTAATTTTAATGCCTGCTAAAATGATCAAAAGTTTGACTGTACTTCAAACAGTCACCACTGTTCAGGAAAGTATTTGAGGACTTTTCTGGGAAAAGAAACAAAGAACAGCATGTCTGCAGATTTCTTTTTGGCATTCTTGATTTTTTCTTTTAAATAAAAAGGCAGATATTAGGAGGCGATGCAGGGATTTGTCAAAGGCGTGATTTCTTAATCAGCCCTTCAAATTGTCATCAGACAGCAGCATTCCACTATATGTCTACCCAGAGGGCCGTTTCATCAGAACATTCTCCCCATATTGCATACTTCAGTGAATTACAACCTTAGAAGGACCAACATCACACAGCTAAACGTCTGTCTGCCTATTTTCAATCATCTGAACTGCACTGGGACAATAGCAAGATTCACTCCTTTTGAGAAAAAAAATACTGCTTAGCCTCTGATTTCCCAGGAAAGAGATGCACAGCAACCCAGTCGGTCAGAGAGAGGAATCTCCAAATCATATTTGGATCTTGGAAGAAAGGAACATTAAGAAAACAGTAGCTGTATTTTTTTCCCCTCACACTTCCCTTCTCTGAAAGCTTTTCTTGGCACGGGGCAAGAAAATAGTAATCCTACCCCTGCCTCTGAGCTGAAAGCGTGGCTTGACTTCTCTGCCCACAGCTTTATTCCAGAGCAGGCCAGCAGGGGGCAGATAGACAGGCTGAGGTGACTGACAGTCTAGTCCAAGAGGTGAGCAGGAACCCAGAGGCTGAACAGGAGCTCGCAGGAAGCATCTTTCTCTCTTCTTAGCACTTAACACTTGAGCCAATGCAAAGAAGCATCCAATTCAGAAAAGCAAGAACCACTTTTAGAGGGGAAATTGCTTCAGTGGAGCTAGAGTCCTCCTATTGCCCTGGCTTCGGAATGTAAAAGGAAGGAAGGAAGGAAGGAAGGAAGGAAGGAAGGAAGGAAGGAAGGAAGGAAGGAAGGAAGGAAGGTGCACATACTATGCAATCACTTCAACAGATTTCACTGGACTGAAGAAGTTAACAAAGAATGTAGTCACAAGGCAAATCTGCAGAGAATAGAAGGAGGTGATATAAGCAAATTGATGTAATACCGGACTTGGCAAAAGTCCCCCAGGAAAATTCCCCGCCATGGATCCCAGGTATCTGATTTAGAATACAGCCAGCTTTTATAAATGGGACTGTGTCAGTATGTTTTCCCAATATCTCCCCCACACTAGGGAAAAAAAGATATTATTATTATGTCAGCCTCCCCTTGAGTCCTTCTCTCTCTCTCTCTCTCTCTCTCTCTCTCTCTCTCTCTCTCTCTCTCTCTCTCTCTCTCCCTCCCTCCCTCCCTCCCCCCTCTCTCTAAATGACCTTCTTAGTTAGACCCAACATCTGCAGCTCCAGAAACTGCAGACTAACATATGCCCACCTATGGGACCATTCATTCCATTCTGCCTCTTCTGCCAAAGATGCACCTAAGGGGGGGGGGAGAAAGGGAGGAGTTTCCTGCTCCTCTGTGTATGGCCCTCCTGTTTCAATTTTGCCACGTAAGCTGGCTAGAGTCAGTGGGGACTTTGAGCCAGGCAATCAGAGAGTGGGGCAGGTAAGGTAATATTTGAGATGGGTTAAACTCTCTGGCTCTCTGAATATCTTAGCTTCTTCTGAGGTCTTCTTCTCAGCTACCCAATACACACCTGAGGAGCATCTCAAGTCAATGACAGATCAAAGGATTATCAAGACATTTCAGGATCTGAGCTAGAAAGAGTTCTCAATCAATTTGAAATAATTTCCTTCCCCCCTCCCAAAAAAAAGCCTGTGGACTTTGTAGTCATAGTGTGGTCCAGCTATAAAAGTGAACCAAGACGTCCCCTCTGCCCCTCCCTTCTCTTCTTCACTTTGGCCAAATGTATGTGAATTCGCTCAGTTTAATAATCTCAAGCAAGGAGGTGGTGGGAAGGAATTTGCATAAGCCATCTCCTTATCAGTTTCAAAACTGGTCGACCACACCAAAAAAATAGGGAGGAGGGTGTTGTTCAAAAGGTTCCTTGCCGTCTTCTCGAGTTTCAGATCATTCCATTACTGCATGCAGCAACCCACCTCCTTCCCATTCTCGCTTTGCCCCACAGCACTTTTACAACCGGGCGGGGATGCTATTTGAAACTCACAGACCGATCCTGTCTAAGGATTTCTGACGAGAAATAAAACTTTACTAGATTTAGTTGGATGGGCAGGACTGGGGAGCCTTTGGATCGCCTATGGTTCTCTTCCCGGCATCCTCCCATATGCCGAAGTCAAGGAGCTCCTCATTTGAACCAAGGATCAATCCGAGGTCCGGAGCGCCAGTGACGGCTCAACCAACAAGGGAGGAAAGAAATCCTTGGAGCATATACAGAGTGCTCCCCAACCAAACCGGGGGCAGATCCCAGAATCACAGACACAGACACACAGAGAGAGAGACACGCGCGCGCGCATTTCAGGGAATGCAATAAGGGAGAGGCAGGCTCGTTCCTCATCTCACTTGCTGGGGTTACTTTAGAAATCGGGGCTGTGTCCCGCCTGATGTTGCCTTAGCCCAGCCCAGCCCAGCCCCTCACATCTCTCCAGCCGGGACTTCAGGGGTCCTCCTGGCTCTCTTACCTCCTCGGACTTCCGCAGCTTGGAGCAGAAGCACTGACGAGACGAGAAGAGCCGGGAAAGCCGAGTCCCAGAACCACCGTTTCGTTTTCCACCTGGTGGACCACTGCCGACTCTTCTCCATGGTTCGCCCCATACCAGGGCGCGCGAACGGCGACCCACCCACCCCTGTCGGGGCCCCTTCGTCCCCCGCGCTCGCTTCTTTCTCCGCCCGGCTTGTATTCCAAGAGACGCTCGGCCTCGCACTCCCTCAGGGACCCATCGAATCCAAGGAAAGCTACGCTCAAAAAAAAAAAAAAAAGGGAAAAAGAGAAAAGTGCCGGCTGAAGAGGTGGGGGCGACTGCGGATCGGTGCTGCCGCTTCGGGACGGGGGTGTGTGTCTTACAACGCCCGGGTCCGGCCCCTCCGATTCGCCTCTCGGGTATCCGGCCTTGAGACCGAAGGGAGGAGAGGGGCTTCAATCCAAACGCGAGGAGCGCAGCATCTCCACTAAAGGCTGCATCCCGCGAAAGGGGCTGGCCAAGAGGCGCACCGGGAAAGCGGCCGCAGGAGCGAAGAACGAGCGAGCGAGCGAGAAGGCGGGCGGGCAGGCGGGCAGGAGGACAGGAGCCCCCCCCTCCTCTTCCCCCGCCCTCCCATTCTATGCCCCCCTCCTCTCACCCTCTAGGGGGAGTCTAAATTGACAGGGAGGATGCGGGGCACAAACCAATGAGAAGTTTCCTGAGAACTCGAAGCCACGCCTGCTGCCCGCCCCTCCCCTTCACCCACGAACTCTCGACCCCGGGTTCCAAAGTTCCAAATTCAGGTAAACGGGAATAAGGACGTGCAGCGGCGATAGCGTTACGGCACCAACTCACCCCCAAGGTTCCGGGAAACGACTTGGCTGAGGAGGAGGAGGAGGGTACGACCATAAAGGGGACACCTCCCCCCCCCCAAGCGCTCTTCCCAGGATGAAGATCTTAAGTCAACGTGAAGCAAAGCAGAGTCGAGCTCTTGGGCTTCATCCCCCACAGCTGCCCCTGTCTATCTTTTATGCAGTATTGGCCATGGTCAAGTTGTGGGAGGCATATAGACCCCAGGAGAAGTTTTTGACTTTTTTGCAGACCATCAAGGAAGGGGCTTATGACAAGATGCCTTGAAGCCCAGCTGGAAACTGCTTGCTCTACCTTGAAGTCGCACATGTGACCGAATCCTAAAAGGAAATGCTTTTCAGCATGCACCCCTTTTGCTGAAATAACTGTAGCAACATGTCAGATGTCAGATCAGGGGGGCAGGGAGATAGGACACTGTCTTTCATTTTAGGAATTAAGTACACAAAAAGCCTGAAACTGCCCTTAGCTGCAGATGCTTCAGAAAGCTGGGTGAACATATGTTCATGCATGGTTGTATACTCATAAATGTTCTCCTGATACTAGACCACCCAGGAAAGTAAATGTACTTAGACAGTTGGCAGATAGGATCTAATATTTCAGGTTTAGTTGTTCATCAATGACATGGGAAGAACCCACTGAAATCCTAACATCACAATTAGGAAACAAATCCTACTGAATTCAGCATAATTCATTTGTTGTGATGCTTTGGCTGGCTGTAAAGAAGCACAACATAAGAATGGCAATGCAATAATATACAGAAGATTCCAGTGACGATACTGTGGAAAAAATACAGCCCCATCTGAACCTATTTAGCCAGTAGTCCCACTGAACTCTTTAGGGTTTAACATTCTGAGTTTAGAATGGTCTTTTGCTTCTTATTAGTGATATATGTCTCCTGTTAACCATATTATAAACAATAAACTATATACTATATACATTGCCTGAATATGTATGTGTTGTGTGTGTATATATATGTATGTATGTGAAAACAGGCTGATCTTGGGAACCAATATGGTCTAGTGGTTGAAGCATTGGAAAGGGATTGGAGAAATTCAGATTCAAGTCATGCCAAGACATTAGACAATTTGAGACCAGTGTTTCTTAGTCCAGCTTACCTCACAAGGTTATTAATTATGTGGGTAAAATGCAGGTAACCTGCCTTAAGTTCTTGGAAGAAAGACAGGATAGAAAGGATGATATAAATATGAATAAATGCACAAACCTAAATAAGGGCTCAAAGCCTTTGTACCTCTACTAATATTCTGTACGCTGAATATCATTCAGATATACTGTCCCTAAAAGTTCAGCACAATCATGTCCTTCATCCACATTGTTAGGGTAAGGGGAAAGAGCTGCTGATTAAGGATTTCAAAATCTAAAACTGATGGATCAAATCCATGGGGACAATTCACTAAGACTGCTTTATGCAACTTGTGCCCTCTTGATATGAAATTGTATGTTGTGTTCTGCACTGAGGGCCAGACAAAACATTAAAACAACAGATTTTTAAGTGATATTTCATTGATCTGGTACTTACGCTACAATTTTCTTTTCAATAGATGATTTATTAATATAATACATAATAATATAGATCTATTCTGGACATGTGAAACCATCAATGGAATTTATGCTTTCCTTTGGTAATTATAGAAGTACATTTCAATAAAAGGGAATATTTGTAGCTTAGGGTTGAAATGAGGGTCCTATGTGCTCTCTGAGCTTGGTTGTTTTCTTGCAGATGTTTCAAAACCCAAACTAGGCAAAATCATCTGTGCTCTCTTTATAATACATTACAATCATTTACAATATCCAAGGAGATTAATGTGTTTTCTTAGGACATAAAAAAGAGAGAAGTTGATCTTTGGAGAGACTTCTAAACGATTAGATCAGAAATTCCAAAACTACAGACTATTTGGGGAAGATCAGGTAAGTATCTTCAAGATTTACTGATTTTTTTCATTTCTTCTTACATTACAGTTTTACATCTTCTTGAAAAATACTTCTGCAGAAGGCTAGTCAGAAAATGACAGTCAACCAAACTGGAAAAAAAAAATTATTTGGAGCCTAGCCACCTTCCTCTTCTCCCCAGCCACAAATGTTTAAGTGCTTTCAGCAAGATGCAAAATAGTTGAGCAAATTCTCTGCCTGGGTCATATGTTTCATGGAAACACACAAAAAGGCAGAAACACATAATGACTTCAGCAGTCTAGTGCAGAAAGGAAGAGAAAAAGTAGGAGAACTGTCTCTTTTTAGGAAGTCCCAGTGACTTGTGTTCATTCAGTGTTCAATATGGGTACCTTCGTAATCCATATTCTCCAGAATGAAGAAAACAATTCAACAAAAAATAATCTACTTGAAAAATACAGGTGTGTGTGGATGTGTGTGCACATCTACACATGCATACACATGCATGACCACATACACACATTAGATACAGAACATCAGATAAAATGTCCTGAGCCACCTGTACAAAGTCTGCCATCAAGATTCCACATTTATGATATCTAATGGGATTAGATCCATTGTTTTCTCATATTTGATTGTGAATAAAGTATATATCTGCCAAAATCATCACTGTCCCTTTTTCAAGAATCCCGCATAATGTTCAAAAGAAAAGAAATCAAAGTGTTGGGTAACCTGAATGTTAAAACCATACTTTTAAGTACATCTACTAGAAGGTCAGTTCTTCTGAGGTCAAGAAATTTAGAGGGTTGATCCTTTGGGGCTGCAAGAATCTCAACTTTTGATTTCATTTCTGAAGAACAATGTGATCATTTCTTGTATTAGATCTGACATTAAAATAACCAATTATCTTTTTGTAACTTTCTCCATAGAGAAATTCTATGATAGAGTTATTGACTGGTTGAAAAAAAAAGTTACAAAATGCATGCAAAATTTAGGACATTGTGACATCCACCTTCTTAGGGATTGGCATTTTGTTTTACCTTTTAAGCATGGCTCATATTATAATCTTGGTTGATTTCAGAAATTAATTGCATGTATGCTTTACACTGCTTCAATAAGATGGTTTCTTATTCTCCTGTGCATTAAGAAAATATCTGTGATGTAAGATATACAGTAGAATATGTAACAAGAAGAAACCAGATAAATCCAGTATATAACAGTTTTGGGGTGGGGTATAAGATTAGAATGGTTTGGGTTAGTCTCTCCTCCAATGTTAGAAACCAGACATTCCCCCCATATTAGCATAAATTAAATACTATTTATAAAGGCAATTCGCATACAATGGTAAATTCAGGGGGGAAATGTGAGGCATTCTTTTTAGTCATGTCAAATTATATATGATTATTTCTTTTTAATAATAATCAAATACTTAAGGAACTATTTTTGGTCTACTTTTTGTGTTTCCAGTGGGGTTACTGATGATATTTGTAGTATGACATGATTTGCTTCATATTTCAGAAGAATAATGTCTCTATGTGCTTGATCATTCCTAATTGTTTAATTGTTGTCTCCTGCACACCGCGAGGAAATGTGACATGACATGTTCATAAAGCATAGATCCCACTTAAGAGCTTAGCTCAGATTTTTCTTGGCCCAATATCTAAGCTTTAAGGTAAATTAATCGTTATCGAGTTATTCTTGATTTATTTGTTTGAAAATTATTTTTACCTCATTAGGCTTTAAATCGGCCTTTCGGGAGGGCTGCTGACTAAACAGGACAGTGTGTTATTCACAATACATTTTTTTTTTTGAGACACAGGAAGATGAGTTGTTTGGTTAATGCGTGTGGTTCTTTCTACCCTCAACACAGATGGGGCATTGTTGTACTTTCAGGCAGTGGGGGAAGGGTTAAAGAGTAATGAGTGGAGAATGCTTTTCTTCTTCCTGGACTGAAGAAGCTCATTCTGACTCTTTCACATTCTTTTCCCTGCAAACCCTGACAAGAAAGCTCAGCTTCACTATTGGGCATATTCTTGCTACTCAAGCCATATGCTTATTTACTCAGAAGCACATGCACCACTGAGTGGAATGGGTCTTGCTTTTAGACAAGTGTGCCTAAGCAATCCCACCGTAACTGAAAATTCTTGTCCCAGACTAAGAAATCATAACATCTACCTGACAAACTTATCTTGGTCTCTCCCTTGAATGTAAATAATGGATTAAAAATCAAAGAAAGGGAAAAGGCTTAGGCACTGGAGAATCATCCCCAATATTAATTGCAAGATTAAAACCTTTAGGAAATGAATCAGATTACTGAAAAGACAGTAATTAATTTGGCTTTACACAAATGTCAACACTTTTTTAAAAAAAAGTTCTGAGGGCCAATGAAACTGTTAAGACCTGGAAGTGAAGATCTGAGGCACATTTATTTGATGTTACCATAATGAGTCACAATATTTTTACCTGCTTTATTGCAATATCTCAAGATACTCTTTAGCAATGCTGTAGCAGTGAGCGGTGAAAATTGGGAAAATATCATACCACCACATGTATAAATGCCTTGAAATGTTAGAGGCCTAAGTAGGGGAGAATTCTTTATCGATTTGCTACTTTTGGAGAAAAAAATATTGTTTTATCATTATTAGCTCTGCCGTAATGGTACACTTACAGCGAACTTAACATCTGCTGATCTTGCTACCCTTTTTCATTTTGTTCTATTATTCTAGGAATCCTGCTGTAGCCATTTAAAGCCTGGGATTGATTTTTTAGAGCCAGCAAGTATTTCTCTGTTAATTAGGCAAGGAAAGAAGACCAGGGTCCTGGGATTGACCAACAGATCAATTCATTCAGAGATTGAGGATGATATTGTTCATTGGGTTCTCTCTTGAGTATAAATGTATTTTGAGAACTTGACACATACAGATATTAACATAAGTTCTTCCTAGATGGTATTGTGCAGTTCTTAAAACACAGAGACATTGAGGCTTTACTAAGCCAATACCAGAACTGGAAGTCTCTACAGGTAGTGGTTCAATTTTTAATAGGTTATGCTTAGTG